TGTGAGTTTGACACAAAATATAGTAGTAACCAGAATCATGGTAGATGGAGGCTCCGACTGGTAGCACTTTGTACAAAAGTAGGTGTGATCTTGGTTAGGGATCTGTGGGGAAGCACTGGATCAGAAACGCGTGAGTCTGATCGGTCGTAATGTGAACTTTGGAGCCCTCAGTGAAGTGTTTATTTCTGATCGGCTCCCTCAGTCGGCATTCAAAAAGGTGAAGGCTACCTTTTTATTAACCTCGTAGAAGAAATTTCGCTGTGTTCACAGGATGCTCCCTATCCGGGATTTCGGTTAAAACCGAACTAATAACAGTCTGCTGTTGTCCTCAATGGAAGCTAGTTCGGGGACAGTTGGGAAGCTGCCTTCTTGCTAGACTAACTGACCTGGCAAGCTCCTAACGGGCATGCAATAGGGGCGCATATGCAGTTCTTCGAAGTCTTATTCACTCACCGGATGAATGTTACATTGGTTGGACCATTTTCGAAAGACTAGCGCATGTAATCAGTTTTTATCAGGTCGTTACTCAGTTGCACGTTTCACACGTCAGCCGAACCTATTCAGTTTGTCCCTTCATCTCGGTAGAATGGAAGCTCTGGGGAAATCGGTTTGTCTACTGTCGTTCCCAACTGATCCCTGGGACCTGTAGAATACGAAAGAAGTCGTTCGCAATACGAGGCCGCACACGAACTAAGCTCGTATGTCGAGGCTAAAATCAGTATTGTTGTTCTGCGTTTGACCGTAGAGTAGCTAGATGGAGGAAATATTGATAGTTCAGCCTCTTCAGTTAGTAGTCCATTTACCTCAAACAATCATACCTAAACGTATACACGTAATACACTACGCATAAGGTCGCCGAGCATTGTTCAACAGTCCATCGTAAACAAGAGATTCAACTAGGTTCCAGCTGAGTCTCGCAAAACCAAATTTGCTCGCAAATGAGTACATTTCGCTATTTTCGTGGTTTCAAGTAGAATATAAGGTTGACGAAAAATAGGTGCGCCTACCTGATGAGCCCCGAGGAGGGCGAAACCGGTCGTGGGCTATCGAAGAATTCTAAGCAACCTTACGAGTAGTGTATTACGTCCATACCTAAACGTGTTTCCACCTCTTTACAGCTATCTTCAGTACGCAAACTAGGAATGACCCCTAAAATAATACCCTATTCGGTTCTCGTAAGGTAACTACGGTAGACATTTGTCAAAGCGCTCAGCAGCCTCAATCTCTCCTTTAATAGACAATGATGTGAATATCACAAATGCCACAGTACTTAGAGACCACATAATATTTCGCACGTTGAACATCTGCTAGAATCTTATGTTGTGCCCGAAGGATGTGAAACTGGGCGAAGTTAAACGGCGCATAAGATAGGCAAGCAACGTCAAGCGAGAACCCACTCAATGGGATAAAAACATCTAATAGATGACAGATGTACATCATTTGACTGACTGAATGGGTCCAGCGGTTAAAGTCGTGGGCGGAAAAGCTGCACAGATGGCAATTACATGAGGTCTTTCTGTGATAGGAGGGCATGAATGGTAGAACAACCTCTGGGTAGACTGATAGTCTTTTCTAATTGAATGTTTCTGAGCGCAAAAGATCGTTACGTGTTTCCCTAATAATATGACCGGCAGGCCCCCGGGGGTTGGATAAGTTTAAGTAAGCCCTTTCGGAATACAGTGGGACAGTTTCTGATGTATGGTTTACTTAGAATGGTGAGCATAGCTTGGCCGGTATAGGAACATGGTATCTAGCATCATCGGACGAGAAATGGCTTCCGAGCGAAGGTTTCATCGTCCACCTCCGGGCGTCATCAACTGTCGTCACGACAGCGGAACCTTCAACTGCAAGATTATTCTGAAAAATGCTTACCCGGAACTGTACATCCATATAGAACACACACAGCTGAAGCGGGATTGGTCTGTACGATCCAACTAGCGTACACCACTTCCGTATAGCTCATTCTACCATCTCTAATGAAGACAATAAACGAAATGTTCGGAGCCATTGGTTCAAGTCTTCTTGTTGCTCTATCCGAATGGATCGAAGGGACCTTGTACTTGATTCTACTGCCAAACATCTGGGTTATGTTTTAGTCTAGACATGACCTGGCACTCTTCATAACTAATGCACCTCGGTTCGGAGGTTTCGCAGGCCGTTACAATGCTCTTTATGCACTTAACTCATCATATTCTGGTTTCCTCTACTCTTACAGGAGGAGATTGCTCTTGTTGGAGTGAGCCCAGTGGACTACTATCCCTACGTTTCATTCAAAGTTGAGCTCAGCATTCTTGATTCACGCTGACGTGGCAACTTTCAAGTCCATGTAGGCCCTCGTACAAGAGAGCGCAAGGCATAATATTATCTGGTATTCTTTTTTGATCACAGGCGTCATCCTGATTCAGCTGTTTGCCTCTAGACGTATCTTTTATGATCACTTTGTCTCCCCCAGCCCAACAATACCCATTTGTCGCAGCCTCCTTTCGCGATAGTGATATCCTTTCTTTTCTCTTCTTATCTCTTCAACCTCTTATGTTTTACCACGTTGATTTTGTTGAATCGTACACGTGCATTCATCTATGATCCTGCCTGGTTTAAAAATTTGTCAACACAATCTTCAAGATAAACCGTCCCTCGCGGTATTTTCACTACACCTACATCCTGCAAAATAATTGGTCGGTCAACGCAAATGTTTATTTATGGTGAGGGTTAAAAAAGTGGATAGTAATAACAACTACATCAAGTTTTCTCAGTTCTAATGTTGGGGAATTCGATCCGCTGACCTTGTCGCAAAATGGTGAGCGACAGCTCTTCACGATTTTCTGCTGCGGCGTACACCTGTTGGGCGTTTGTGATAGGTAATCCGTCGATGGCGATAATGACGTCACCAGCCATGAGTCCAGCTCTTGATTTCGAAAGAAATGATAGCGATACAGTAATGAACTTGCGATGAATACAATCATTCTTACATTAAGATAACCGTGATAGAACCTAAGTTGCTAACATTCCACAAAAGGACGCTTCTAGACGACGTTCACGTTTCAGCCGGGGTCTTTCCAAGAACCTGCCTTCCAATCATTTAAGTGAAGACAACTGTCAAGAACACGTCAGAATGCAAGGCTGAAACATAACCGGCGTTTGTGTTATGGCAAAACAATAAGCAAGTTCACAATCGCTTTCGTACAGCGACCTCTCCCCTTTCGGATCTAGACAGCCTCATCCAGATCTTATCATATAGTGCTGTCTACAACGTCTGATTGCTGACTAACAAACAAATAACGGTTTTAAGTGAAACTTACAACAATTAAATTCTGCTTTAGGTTAGGAATATATTTTTTTCTCCTTTGGGAGGAGAATTGCTCGTTGACACGCCAACCAGTGTGTAAGCTACCTGGAACGTGAGAGAACCCGAACTTCATAAACTAACGGGCCAGCTGGACTTAACAATTAAATGAAGATCAGGACGGGTCCTGATAGAGACGAACCCACCCTTCACCTGGGGGGCCTTGTCTGTTTGTGCCGCAAGAAACGCCAGATCTTGGTTTACTATGTGTTTGCGGTGGGCTGTTACGAGACAGTGAAGTAATGAACAGTGCTGAGATTCGAGGTACTCATTTATTAGCTTGTGAACTTGGCTCGTGCTCTAAGCTTGTAAGAAACGTTACACAGCTCTGGAAACTTGACAGTAAGGAATGTGTACCGGAGATAACCAGCAGTTTAACTCGACATTCGAACACCTTACTTGCAGTGACTAGCTGAAAACCCTAACTTGAGATTAAATCGCACCATATGAAGTCATGTAACTGTTCTCATACCAATACACTTGTCTCATGCTGCTTTCTATAGATGATCTGAAGCAAGACTCCCCAAACATTTTGAATCGCACATCGGTCTGATATTCCGATGCAGCTCCGCGCTCTGGATACAAAACTTAGTCATGCTGTACCAGAATAACAAATTTGACCTGCAAAGCCGCGCACAAAGGTGCTAACGTGCATAGACGTAAGTCGCTAAGTATCTCAAAAAACCTGTATTGGAGCAACACGTAAAGAACGTGGACAAGTGTGACAAACCCCACGCTTCTAAAATATAACCCAGTTTGTACAGCCAAGTTGGCAGTTCGAACGATACAGAATGCTTTGAAGTCGTCACGACCCAGCTTATTATTGTATGAAAATACCATGTATTTTGCCGGTGGGAAGATTTGTTAAATGTCTCAATACTAGCTTTCGTAGAACAAGCGAATTTCCCCAAGAGTTTCTCTCCCTTTCTCTTTTAATGCGTCGCTGAACTATGAATCAACAGGCTCTAACCGTAGTGCAGCTGCATTGACTGATGTTGAATTCAAAAGTACCTTAAAACATCCAATTACTCTTTTCCTCTGAAGCCTTAGCGCCAACTGACCCCGGAGAGCTCGAGATAGGTCAGCGGTTAGGGCCTGAAATTACTGTCCGTAAAAACCGTGGTTCGAACCAAACCTTGACCTTTCAGTTGCTCTCGTCTACCTTTGTGATTCCTTCGGGTTACACGGCAGCTATGCACCGAAAGAGTTCTACACCTGAACCATTGTTCAGTACCTGCAGGCAGCAGCAAGAGCAAGGGATGCATTATAGGACATATCTACAAAACGTCTTAAACCGAGCGTAGTTCGTTAAGGTCGATTGGCCTGAGTGGCCTCAATGTTCTGCTCACGTGACCGCCTCCCACTCAAGCCAGACGGTCATGACATAAACAGTTTTCGCACGTACCCAGATTTCGCCTTAACTCTATTTTACTTGTGTGCATCGGTGGCGCTTAGTTCTGTAATCCCACAGGAAGAGTGAAACCGAGTGATTTTGCAGACCATCCAGAGTTTGACTCACTATTATCAACAATAAGAATCGAGCGAGCATCTTTGCTGGAGACTTGTCGATAACCCTTTACAGAATTCCACATAAACCCTTGCTCGCAAGTCTGAATAAAAAACTTATTGGATTCACGGACTTTTAAGGCATGTCCAACACGAACGTGTTGATGAGAATAAATCCGTCGAAAGCACCTTCGAAATCAAGCAATAGTAAGAGTGGGACGTCCATAGAAATGCCATGGAATGTGAAGATGTGGCCAACATAACCGTTTCTCGGACGAAATCCTGCTTTCAATTCTCGAAACACGTCTTTAAGCAAAATAAGTTTTGTGAAGGGTTTCATTACAACAGAATTCAAGCCAACACCACGGTTGTTATACCCCTCACTACAAGCAACCTTTCGTGAAACAGTCACTGGTGACAGTTCGCACTACTTGGTTAGGATAGTTCATTTCTCCCAGATAGAGGGTGTTAAGTTAGACGGGTATTAACTGGGGATCCCACTAAACATTTAGGGCCGAAGTTGGTCAGAGGGGGAACTCATTCGCCTAATTCTGAGGGTACTGGGAGTTCCAGGTTTGCCATCGGCTGTGTTGAGAGTGGCGTATCCGACCGAATAACAGGAAATCCATTAAAATATCGCTCAAAGTGTTCCGCACAGCTTTCCTTTCTGGATATGGGTCGGTTACTTGCCTCGAATGGTTTCATTCGCCGACACCTATTTGGGCATGTGGCGCGCATCGATTGAAAGTTTTCTGGCATATGCCAAGAAATTCTCGTTTTGCTCACGTAATCACTTTCTGGATCTACCAAGCTCCATGATCAACTATTTTTTCCGAGAGTTTTTTTCTAATTGTAGTGTGTTCTGTATCACCCGGAATATGTCGGGTATACAGCAAGCCTACAACTCTGTTCAAGAACCAGTGCTTCAGGTAGCTGGCTGCATCGTAGTGCATGCAGAGCACCCAGCATCTTGTCGTGACGGTACTTTCCAGCAAGAGTCTAAACAACGATTTACTGAAAACAACTTTGACGTACATCAGAGGGAACGGCTTCTTTTGCCAAATAATTACGACGCACAGTATTCGTACGTCATCAAATTTATGCCACCCGCAAAACGACTCATCGGCTCAATTCAAAGAAACAGTTGAGTAGAACTACACTTCAGGGTAAATCGAATTAGGGCAATAGAAGAATTGTATGTGGGAGGCTTAATTTCAAGCGGTGGAGTGTAATAAAAAAAACAATCGTTAGCTTTGGCAACTAAGCGATGAGGTGTTGAACAGACAATCTCTGTACCTGTGAGCAGGAGAATTCCGCATTATGGAGTGGATGAGAACGCCCTCAGTCACATTCATGTACTGTGGTCCCCCACGAGAACCTAATTCGAAGGCCAGTTCCGGTGTTAGCGTACGCATTACCAGACCAAGATACCGACGTGCTGGCGCACCACTAGGGGTAGTTCCAGACTCAGTTAGTATATGCGGATCACCAGCGTCTCGGCGTGACCCAATCGGACCAGATTTGCCCGTTCGCGCAGCAGCTTGCAAGGCCATCTGGACGAAATTACGAACTTGATCCACTGGGATCGCAAAGCCAACACCTGTACCCGCAATCATCGAATTGACGCCAATGACCTCACCCATCAGGTTGACCAGTGGTCCACCGGAGTTTCCGAACTGAATTTGAAGACAAAGCAAACGATGGGAGGGAAAATATGAAGTGGAGAATCATAAAACAAGGAAGACCGCTGCCTTAGAACAAAGATCAACAAAGCCAGTATCACGGAGCTGCTACAAAAATAACGTGAAAGTCAATGCTCGAAATTCTGGCTGAATTAACTGATACATCGTCCGAAAGTACTGACTAAAGGTGATCCTTTCTGCACCGTGGAGGGTGGGTAACTATATTGAACCTAGAATTTGGGAGGCAAGGTATGAGCGAAATCCGATAACCACAGATTGAATTCTTATGTGGCAACCCAAAGATAAGGGAAGCCGAGCAACAAAATATGGCTCTCAATAAGCACCCAAGCAAACTATGATGGAGAAGCTGAGTTATTCGCATTTCATTTGGCTTTCTGTCGATGCTGCAATAGTCTGGACCCTTTTTTCATACAAAGCTATTTTCCCGATTTACGGGTGGCCTCGTCACCCATGCACATCGGGAGTCGAGTGTTGACACAAGTTCAGTCATCAGCATCGAGAGCAATACACCAGCAATGCATACCGATGCTCACATACTGTGCAAGCTGCGCGACAACCGAGAATGATTAAGTTAACCAAAGACACTCAAATTTGATCTCTATCAGGATACATACAATTGGCCAAGGAGACGCTGACTGTTTAAGTCATATTCCCAAGGCCAACACCACTAGCCTTCATTTAAAACTACGAATTTATTCACCGCGCAGTGTTTTACATAAGCAAGGCAGTCCCATGGTCAAAGAATCCCGTGTAAACAAAATGCACGACAGCCGAGTACACTAAACGACAGTCATGGTGGCTTCCACGGAATCGTGTCAACTATGGTCTTGAAAAGTTAGTTAGTGTAAAAAGGCGACAGGATAGTTGTTGGTAGGAAGTCCATAAGTGCAGAGGCTCCGGAAGGAAGGAAGCACCAATGAGATCAGTTAGACAACTGGGTATGAAGACTTGGTACTGGTGTCTGGGGCAACAGAGGTAAGTGAAAGGATTACAAGTTTGTTAGAGCTGAAGCTGATGACATTCTGAAGAACGTTTTCCATGGTAGTACTGACAGGATAAAGATGAGCTGACGTATCATAGCCATGTGAATTGAGACTGGAGTAATAGGCGGGTTGATACTGAGACTAATGATATCCCTTGGATATGATTCAGATTCAAGACTGAGAGGTAGGTAGAGAAGTCTCAGTTCAAACGTAAAAGTAGTAATGGGGAAATATTGGAGTCCTTAGCCAATTGGTTCAGCTTTCTCTTAGGGAAGAAGTTTGAGGACACCACGGGCATCCGAAAAGGGGTGGGATGAGGGGATGTTACACTACCAACTACTTTGGCCCGACTTCAGAAGGCACAGTGGGCGCATTTGAGGTGGTAAGGGATTACTGAACCAACATCTGCAATATGGGGTTCTTCCGAGAGTAGCGAGGAGGCAGACGCCATTCGGTAGAAGAATTCCTACCATACATAGAGAAACGAAGAATAAATAAGTGATGTCATTGTAATATTCAATGAATATTTGGGCAAATGGTGATGGGTAATTCAACAGGCGACATGTGAGGAAAAATAGATCAATACTATCCTAGTCGACTAGGGGATGGAGAGAATTGTGTAGGTACAATGGAGTGAGAACATGCGAAGACAATAGGGTGGAAAAATAAACAGTACGGGGAGTGGGGCGAGTGAAGAGGAAGGGATCCGTAGTTTGTGGCCTCCTGCTGTTGTGACCGGAGATGAGAGTAGGAAATCCACAATTTAGTAGAAAACAATCAGTAATAGAAAGGAACTCTGCGTACAGACCAGCCTGATCAATGAAGGTTGAGCAAGTAGTTCGTTAGAAGTTGTGAGCGAGTTAATCACCAGGACTGCAAAGTTGAGCAGTTCATATAATTGATCATTGGTAGGGAAACACATTTAGAAATTATTTCCGTTGAGAGCAATAAATACAAGTGTTTGATACTCTGGGGACTGAATAACACAAATCCAAAAAAGGAAAATGATTCGAACCAATCGACCCAGAATATGTGGGTAATGTAACAAAAATGAGTGTAAGTCCAAACCTAACCTTTAAAACGAAAATTAAGTAAATCGGGAACTGGAAGTGGTCCAAATCGACAATCCGGATTCGCATCAGCCGGGAAAATGATCGAAAAAGACGAGCAGGACAGATAATGATGGGCTGAGTTAATAATCTTGTTTAGACCGCAGATTCTGCAAAATAAGACTCCAGTAATTTGAGAGAGGCTACTTCCCAGGATGGCAACGTCGGTTACCTACCACCCCAAACTCACCTTTTTACAAAAGCTCTGCCTCGTTGTTAATCGTGAAACCTGCCAATTTTGTTGCAAACGTGTCATCATCAGCCGAGGTGCGGCGGTGGGTGTGCATTAGATTACGCACACTACTTCAAGCGCAGAAAACCTTTGATTAAGAGCGGTTTTTGGACGGGCTACCGTTCTGCTTGGTTTTTTAGCCCATATCTTAATTGATCGGCCTACGAGGGTGATCATTCTGGTTCGTACCCTGTGAGCCCTCTCAGCTTATTCAATACAAAGCACAGCTTTGAAGACATTCAGTTCGCAAAGGAATTTGAGATAGATAACTACCTAGATAACGACCTATCCTACTTTCGCTAAATTACACGAATCTCCATCTACTAAAGAAGGACCATGCACCATGAACTGTGAGAACAGAATCAAGCTGAATGCCCTCATACGATCGGTTCGCTCTCGCCCAACAAGACGTGCATGAAAAGTTAGCACGCACATGGTGTTCTGTGACAATGTGCTCTGAACACAGCTTGAATGAAACGCACGACTATACAGTTGAATTATTTTGTTGAATTTGGAATTTCACATGCCCACATTTTTTCAATGTGGAACCAAAACCTCACTGAATTTCATGCAGAAAAAAAAGTAAGTACTCTGTGAAATCCTTGGAGTGGTTGAAACACAACAGCTATGAGATCGCGCAATTGGACAAAGTAACTGAGTAACACGAATGACACATGCCATGGAACTGCACAAACCCACTGGGTTTAGAGATGTCAGTTTTGATCTGCAAAGTGAACGCGGTACCCGTAACCAGAAGGCAAGTTGTAAAACAGCCATAGGCAGGAAAAACACCGACCATTCTCTCAGTTCTAGATAAATTTATGGTTATCACATTTGTCCTAAAACATTAATCAACTTGTCGAATCTAGCAGCAGTTAACCATGTATGTGGCAGAGACAAAGCGAAGAATTAGTCAACCTTACTTCGTTCTCAAGGTTGATGAGCCTCTAAAATACACATATGGACCTGTCAGGGGAGCCAACCAGAAATGTTGTTGGGTTTCGATGTTAGTGGATTGTAAACAAAAACATGTGGCCTCCTAAGTTTCTGCGACTGATGGACAGGTTTTTCGGCAAACGTTACCACAAAAAAACATAAATTCACAACTTTTTAAAGCTTCTCTATGGGAACCACTTACAAACCCATTATTTAAACAGATTACCGTAACAGTAGGAACATCACGCTCTAATCGCACTGGAACGCTGCAGAAGCTGAAAATGTCACACTCGACATTTATCATAGCGCCATTTGATGGTCTGCTAATAAGAGACAACTTGTTATTAGATGTGAATGGAGAAAATTTTGTGCACTTGTTGTCACTTTGGACACAAAAATCTAGGTTTTGCTCATGCATGTGAGACAGAGCAGGTGGTAATGCATCTCTATGGTGAAACGAAGTGTGGAATGAATATTGCGGATGATTAGCTACTGAGGAAATCGCTGGCAAGTCAGGTAGCGTAGACAGTCGTTGGTTTGTTCGGTCAGCGGGCGACAACATTGAAGTGTTGGTAAGGAGCGGGGTGGAGCGTAGCGGGGGGTCAGTGATGGTGCCCACAAGTGGGTGTATTTTCCGATGTTCTACTGACGAATGGAAATCCATCCAGAAAATTACGGTGTTTGTCCTACGGAACCACAACCGTCATTTCCACATATACATGTTAGACTCAGACTCAGTTAGACTCAGATCAGCGTCTATGTACGCCGTACGAACCAAATTTATATCGATTGTCCTTGAAATGCGATGAGAGATGTTCAGTCCTGACAGCTTCTACAGTGTAAGTATTGGAAAACTGCAAGTAGATTGATCGGTAAGTTTCACGTTCTTCATGATAAAGTTTTAGTGCTTCTCTATTGCGTTTCCAAGATCTCGTGCTCCGGAGGTTTTTTTGTGAGTACTCACTCACGGAAACACGCGTAGCCATCAACTCAGTTCACACAGTAGACAGCTAGTGCACTCAATAACTATCAGCTGACTTCAGCAGCAACTCGAAAGTTTGCACGGAAAATCGAAGAACGGTCAATAACGCGTGCCGGTGCAGATTGCATTTCACTGTATGGGTCTAGGATTTAGCTAGGAAATAACTCTAGAGGAACAAGTGAAATGAGATAACAAAAGTACGGAACATGAAGAAACTTGGGTTAAAATGGTTTGCTGAGGGATGTGACGGACTTCTTGTGTCATGTTTCATGGTTTGACGAGACCAAAAGGCCCCCGGTACAAGACAAATGTAGTAACCAACTACATATATGCTAAGGTCCCAGCAGAAACACGCACGCCAAGTTCATGCCCATAACAATGAAAAACATGGATGCGTTAATGCATAATTGGACATATTTCCAACAAACTCAGAAAAACATTTGAATGTGGAAAGTGGTGATAAATTAGATAGAGGAAAACGCAGCGTTTTTCAAAGACGTTTATATTGCCAATATATGCGGAGCCACTGGACAACGACGCGTATGAAACACCGAACAAAAAGACACATTTTCCACTCTGCAGTACCGCTCAGCCCCACAAACTTGCAAAAGACTCTACAATCGAAATTCATGCGCTGACAGTGAGCCATACGGTGCTCCCTGATCAAGCCAAAATATCCCATAGCAGCCTAGCATAGGACATCCCTGTACAGAGTTAGCAGTCATTCGTTCACAGCTGATCTGACGGCCAGAAACTATCTGAACAGGACCGACCAACAGGAAAAAAAGATGAACAGGCACGCATAACTCCCTCAACCTACGAACAAACCACACGTCTGAACACGTCTAATCAGAGTAGCAAACAGAATGTTGGTTGTTTTAATCGATTCTGTCACGAATCGGCACGTGTTTTCTTGTCTGTGCGATTTTGATCAGCTGATGAAGGTTGTCAGAGGTGATGGAAACGTTGAGCAATAAAATCTCCGCTGACCAAAATCGTTTTATTCCCCAAATACCACAACAGTCAAAACGATACAAAGCTCATATTACTCGATTACATTCCGCAGGAATACTCTAAAATTGGATAAGTTGCTTTGCAAATGAGTGTAAAACTACACTACACAGGAATGGTGGAAACTCGAGGACTACGCCTATATGAGAGCCCCAAGAAGGATGAGACTGGTAGTCAGTTGTGTGGAAGCTTTCATAATACTAAAAAACAAGAAAAACTGGATGCCATCCAGTATTCCCACCCAGAAGACCATTTGGATTCCAGAGAAACCAGCGTGCAAGAACATCCCAAACTGGAGAAGCAGACCAGTTTTCTTTCATTCGGACAGTATATGTTGTGTATCTATATAAGTAAGTAAGTAGCCCACACATTCTGAAACACCTGAAAAGTCGTCACTCGAGGAGCTATTCAACACGTATGACAACGTGACGTGAATTTCTTAAGTGAAGCTGAGTGGTGCTATATCCCGTCCAATTGAGAGTCAATCACACTGCTCATCGGTCGCTTGTGGCCGAACAGTTAAGCGTTCAAACTACCGTCTAAAATGTTGCGGATTCGAACCTTCACGGATTTTTGTGAGAATCGCACTTCCCGATTCCCATCAAGGATGAAACGGCTGTAAAGTGCTTCTCGGCTTTTCGGAGCAGAAAGTCTTCACTTACAGGACCGAATCTCTATTGATTTTAGTATTGTTGTCCTGGGTACTGAAGACAAGGGCAGAATGGTTCACTAGATGGCCAGTCTGCCACGCTTCATGTTCTTTGACCTAAGATTGGCAGTTTGACAGTTTTCGAAAGCCAGGATACAATAACTCTCTACTATGCAGGACTACAGTTCGGAACGCGTGTGCATCTAACAACGGTAGAAATAGAACGAAAAGCGTCTTCCTTTGAAGCAGATAACCAGGATCTGCAATGTACGTTAGAACTCACAGTTATGATGGCATCTGTTTGAATGTACTTGAGTCCTTCGGAGTGACCCAAATCCCGATCCAGAGCGGAAACCACACCGACAGTGACACTATTGGCCAACATAAGAGGGCTCCCGAGGGCCAGAACAAAGTGTCCAGGTCGAACCAATTTTAGGTCAGGCGCCAGAGCTAATTGTGGTAATGCCTTTGCAATCTTTTCTTTCACATCAAGCTGCAATTAAAATTAGGCGAGAACGCGTAAACTGCTGGATGACATATACGGATAATGGTGTTCGAAAAATATGCAATTCGGGTGATCCAGGATAAAACTGAATCAAAATTATCATAAAGGAAACTACTCACAAGGTTGCTGAAAACTCTGAAAACTCTTTGAATCAAAATTAGTCACGCAGAACTACATCCAAAATCGAGGCTACAAAACTGTCCGGAGGCCAGCCGTCCCTAATAAACGAACATCACATCATTTGGACGGATGTGTCACGTGCAGAGCATGGACCAAACGAAGGCATGCCCTGATTGGTCAGAATGCAGGCCCGGCATCTTCGACTCGACACTTCTCGCCCCCTCACGGAGATTCCGGCACGACCCTGTGGAACACTGCGACTACCCTACAAATACAGTTGTAATAACTTCCATGTCTCCATAAAGGGCTGTGTAGAGTTACCGTGCCTTTTGATATACCATAGTGGGCGGAGCAGGAAGCCAAGGGACCGATACAGGGTTGCACGACCGTTAACAAGTCACAACAAAAAACTTCCCATGAATCGCCAGAGGATACGACTTCTCCGTTAGCTCGGGCTCCTCCTTCCATCGGGTAAAGATGGGCATAATATGAACTTATTTAGTCTTTAGTACATAGACCAGAGATCAACAGGGCGAATTTTGGATACTCCGTTAAGTAACATTAGTTTTCCGGACCTGAAAACACAGAAGCACTGAATCATTATTATCATCGCCAGCGGCACACCATTAAAACATAATAGTGCTTAACTGTGATAAATCACTGAAGCTCAAGAACAATGTAATGTTTCAGTAATCATTTTTGTACCGGCGACCTTAGCAATTCCCTTTTCCCAGTTAAACTATTCGCCCAAAAATCCATCACAAGCCACATAAAAGTTGCTATGCTCGAAAAGATAAGTAGAACGTTCGAACGAGATCTAAATTGATTTACGGTTGTACACATGGTTCAAAATTATCAATTAAACCTTGTTCCAATACCTGTCAATACATCGTTTGATTTACAGCCCTCCTAGAGTACTAGTAAGTGCGGTTCGGTCACTCCGCTATGGGCTCAAAATGGATGTGGATGTTGACCCCGGAAAGTTACATGGATATAGCATCCACCAACTGGGATCTATTCATTTAAAAAGGTAACTGAGGGTAAACAGAAGCACAACTTCTCATCTCATCAGAGGGCAACACGGTGAGAACACAACAGTCCTTCTCAACAAGACACAGTAGGACTAACCAAGTAAACTAGCATCCATGAATGGGAGACCCTTCTGAAAAGATGTCATGTACAGAGTTTACGCCGGAGTTCCTGACAGGTGCGACGCCAATGATCCTGGAGACAAAAGGGGTCACTCTCATCCGTATCCAAATCCTCCGTGCTCTGTGATGATTCCCCCTAGTAGTAAGTTACTATAGTTCACCCTTCAAGATACAGAAGTACTATTCTTCTGATGTCTCAGGTGGATACAGTGCGGTTTCTCCTCTGTTCCCTTTCTTCGTGTTTGTGCTACTGTGACATATAAAAGTCATTGAAAAACGGTAGGGGAACTTACGCGGATCAGCGCTAGATCTGACGACATATCAACAGCAAGTACACGACCTGGAAATGATCGTCCGTCAGAGAGATGAACAAACACGTTGGTTCGATATCCGACCACATGGGCATTTGTAATCACATGTCCAGCGTCATCGATGATAAACCCGGATCCGGTGGATTGGGTGTGACGTGCCAAGAAGCCTTTGCTGTATGGGTTCAAAGCGGCACAAAAAGAGTCCAAGGTTACTTCCTGACGGCGATGATGAAGGCGAGGATCTTTATCGTGATTGTCTAATAAATGTTGTGCAGAACGCTTCTAACACATTTCACATTGACGAACCGGCTTGCGCAGCCTGCTGAGTGATCAGTCAACAAAAGCAGTCGATTCGCAGACGATTAATCAAATCGGTTTACTGCTGCCAGCTAGAGTACTATTTGTCGTTCTTGTGTTTCCATGTTGATCTGCCATAAACTAGGAGCACCTGAAATAAGTGGCTGTTGGAAATTGACAAAGTACGTGAACACCGATCTTGCGCAGTCAGCAGGCAGTAAGGCAGCAGAGATCACGGCTGATTAATGAATTATCTATCGTCACCAGTATACACCAGTCGTATGCGACTTGTTGAGATGAAGCTTTCGACAAGACGTTTTTATACCTGCTTCCTTCGAGTGGCATGGCAGATAGGCGTCGAAAAGATGTTACAACTGGGCAGTTATCTCTATGTTTGTATCTAGATCTTTCGTCCATGTGTAATGTACTATGGTGACTCTTCGTATACTCAGCTATTGAACATATGATCGTTTTTTACGTCTAGGTAGACAAAAATACAGTTCCGGAGAGAAACCGGAGAGAAACTGCACAAAGTTACCAAACGTGACATTCTGGTTTGGGTATGACGTTTCTCGTCTTGTCAGTGTTAAACCCTTTTGGTAATTGGCATTAAAAGTACTTTGCTGAAGACAAATGGAGACGGTGTTCACACCATTCGGTCATTACAGTTTCTCATCAGGGTGCCCTCAAGAATATGATTATTATAACTTATTTCGTTGGAATTAATGTAAGAGCCATATTTTTAAGCTGCAAGATTGAAACAGCTCTATTACTTACTCCATACTCGTAATTGAGACTACGGCTGGTTGCGCTTCCTGAGCCACATCAGCAACAACCTCTAAGGAGCGAATGGCAGCTTGTCGTTCTTTATGCAGAACAACTCTTGGAGCTTCGGCGCACTGAACGATTTTTGGAAAGCCATTTCGCTGACCAACAGAGTGAGGTTCTTCTTCGTCAAATGATCTGCTGGCGATTAGCCCCGTCAATAAACCAAGAGCAGTGAGGTGAAATCCGTATGGAGTTCCAGAATGCTGCCCTGATTCGGAACCCCAGCGGTTGTGCCGATAATCGATAGTCGGCAACGCAACTGAAACTCGATAGAGTGGATTGTGCGGTTGGAAACACTTCACTGATATGCCTTTGAACAACCGCAAAACGGACCGACCCCAAATTGAATACTGAAATGGAATGACAGTTTGAATGTCGTTGTTAGTTAAACGCAGCGGAAGACCGAATACACCGCCACATGAACCACTGAAACAACTGAGAGGCAGTCCGCATATTCGTATGCCAAATCAAGGATATGCGAACGCTTAGCGAAACCCCAAAACACGCCTAGGTATGAGCGCCATCCGAGAAGCATGTTAGCCGGAAACCGAAGTTAGATCCCAACATCGCTTTTATCGTCAACAGAGACAGCATGATGCTCCGTTGTTGTGAAAAGGAAAACTCGGATGGGGAAGGGACCTGGTGCCAGCCTGCCGCAAGTGCTATGAGGAGCACACAACTCCAAATACTCGTGATCTGTTTCACACTTTTTGGCTTAGCCACACGATGCCCACCTCACAGTTCGCACAGGAGGCGCCGAGAACAATACTTTTCTTGGTGGGCGATTATTCGACATGCGTAGCAGCCAACGCAGTTGGTTGTACTGGACTACGTGTTGCGCAGCCAAAATTCATGTTTGAACTACCCCTTTACGAATTTGCTCACGCCATCGGGAATGCTTGAGGTGCTGGCTGCCAAAAACCTGAAGGCGAATCATCTGTGGAGGCCGTGTTCCGCAATCATACAGCTGTAGCCTGGTGCACGCAAATCTTAAAACTGAGTGAGTCTGCAAGTGATACGAAGTTGCAAATGCGATTCGGGTATTCGAGGTCCGCGCATCAACTTCATTGGATACACTTCTGTTGGAGTTGATGAAACTACAATCTCTTTCACGCCCTTCTGCCAAGCCATATGTTGTCCACTTAGGGGTTTGCGTCATTTTGAAGGAGGCACGGAGAACCATGCTCGTTTCAGTAGACGGTGTTTCGGCATGCGTAGCGCAAGGCCAAGTCACCGTATTCGATGGTGTTGGATATTTTCGTGATTGGAGTAATTACTGCACGACCAGATATCAGTTTTCTAGTTACCTTGTCATGAATTCGTTGACGCCATTCGACTTCCGCATCGGTGGTCTGAAACCTGAAAAAAGCTCACGTCATATGTCAATAGTGGCCAGGTCTCCCAACCAAACAACAATGAGCCCTTGCTGTACTTGGTAGACGCGACTCTTGAGGCCCAGTAATATCCCTTTTTTAAGCCAAAAGTGACGTAAATCAGCAAATATTATTCTGAATTTTGAGATTCGTGCGCCGACTTCATCAGACACACTTCCGTCAGAGCTAATACAACTGCCGAGATATGTAAAACTCTTCATATCCTCCAATGCTTCTCCTTGAGTTGTAGGGGGTATATTCAGAGACTGGACGTTCTTAAGCATGACTTTGCACGTTGAAAGTGCAGGATACATACCAAAAGATGATACCACGGTAGTCAGTCCAGCAAACAGGACGTACTTCGCGTTCATCTTCAAAGATAAGGGCGATATCGCGTGCGTACGAGGTTCTCACCAGCAACGGTTGAACACCGGGGGTTTGAAGACCTTCCAGCGTTCTCTTTATTCCATCAATGAAGTTGAACGAGAATGGACATCCTTGCCGGACACCACTTTTGGTAGGGAGGCTATCAGAGAGCTCACTATACAATCTCACATTCAGAAATATGTGAATACAGAGACCGGATTATGTACACAAACTTCTGAGGCATAACCCGTTGACCAGTTGGCAAAGTCGAACGCACAATGAACGAACACAGAGATTGTGGGTCGTCTGTACATATGGCGCTGCTCTAACATCTGACGGAGTGTGCAGTTAAGGTTGACGCAGCCTCTAGCCGGTTGAAATCCCACTTGATGCATACGAGTCAAGGATCCGCGTACCACCGTAAGACGACGATTAATCAGTGACGCCAGAAGCCTTGTTAAAACGGGAGTCAATCCAACACTTTTTTGTTGCTACATTCACTGCGAGTACCCTTTCTGAGAATGGATACCAGCATCGACTCACCGCAGTTATATAGGACAGTTCGTTTTTTAGATAGATCCAAACAAGCTAGAGAGATACTGCGTGAGCAAGTGGAAGGTTGTCCGGACAAGCAGAACGGTGACGCTTGAGTAGAGATATACACTCGGGAATTCTGAGGATGAAGGCCAGGATTCTGGATTTGAGGTAGCAGGTGGCCAACTGAATTGTTGTTTGCAGTGCTGAGCTGGAAATAAGGGAGCCATTTAGGTCCCTGACAATTCCGCTGGTAGAAAGCTTCAGAGGACAGCCTGTGGAGTTCTCCAGCATTTTTCACACCTCTAATTTTTTCGACCTTTTGAGTGCATCACGCTTCCCACTTCAGCACGGACACTCGGACGATGCGTCGTGTTGAGTCCTAGTTAAGGCCAGGAGGAAGCTGTCTCCGAGTCCCCATAGAAGCCAAGGTCCTACCATAGATCTAATATTTGGATGGGACTAGCTGGAGAAGCTCTGTATGTCTGTTCCAAATGACCTTTAATACCCACATCAGACAACCTGGTAGGCGTTGGAGCCGGTTCTGATAGGTTTGCTTGGATTCTAGGTCAATGAGGCTCTCATTAGCTAAGGAATATGTGCGCGTTTTACGTGGACCTGGAAAACGATCAAGAGTAGCAGCCGAAAATGTGAAAATGTAAGCTAATGACATCTCGCGATGGCCGATTTCACAAAAAATTATTGTTTGCTGTAAGTATCACGGCTGTTCGTGGGCTGGTATAATGCAAGCGCGCCCACATCTAGAAAGAATAATTATTAAGGTCTCGGATCGGAACCTTTGGCACAAAGGCCTGACTGCAATTTGGCGGGAAATGCAAGTGCATTACCATGTTTATAGATCAAGCCGCCACACATGTTGTAATGCCCAACCTGGAGGACCAGGGTGTTGGTCAGATTACTAACCACTGACCAACTCGGTAAGGGAGCCTGTGTCGCGCGGACACACCTTGTAAAACTCAATGGCTCACCGAGACACAAACCACCACACCATTGTAAGGTCACCTCTTCGCGATGCAAGCACGTGTAGATAAGAATCAGCATCCCTAATTCAAAAGGAAAACTTTCCTGGTCTGACAACAGAAGACCTTCAGTGTAACAGATAATCTCCTTGAAGGCAACCGGCCCACTTCCATATGCACACCAATATCGAACGGACAAGTTGCATCTTTTGGTGAAAAAGTACGCTAGCTTTCTGTCCTATTGCCGGTTAAACTTACATTCAGAATCACCACTAAAAAGCCTTCGTCTGAAGAGTTTCCCGCTGACAAAACCTTGTTTAATTTTTTCTCCATACCTGCGGTAGTATAACCCAATCAGCGCTCGTTTAACCCGTAACAACGTTCCGACACATAGCTGTCGTACAACCCGAAGGTTTAGTTACTAAAATGTTTCCCAGGCCTAAATGGGAACCATGAAATTTACAAATGGCCCCAATGAAGTGCAGATACTATCACCGATTGGGTTTTTCAAATGACACGTACTAGAATTGAAAACAACCACAATAGTCTGCAAGAGCAAAGACATCTTATTTGGGTAGTCTGGTTAACTTCAGACGGCCGGTCACATTGTCTTCACACTCTCTAAATTTTTATTTGTATAACATCCTTACATACCAGCTAAGTAACGTATTCTTCAACCCCTTACGCAATGCAACACAGCCACATTGCACCTCGCCAGGATACTTGACAAGAAGTAAAACGCACAAGCTGGACATGTGTTGACATGTCGCCTTATACGAAGAAAAATAACCGGGCCATGAGTAACTCGAAACAAAAGCATGAGCACCGTCAAAATATGTTGAACTGCAACAGTTGGAGAAAAACGCTAGAAGTGAACTTGGTTATTTGGCGACTCCTTATGAATGCGAATACTAGTAGTGATTTACGTGAAAAACGTATCGAACCGATCTCTTGTGTCATAGTAAACAGCAAGTGAATTGCATCTTATGCTATGGTTGTTTCGAAAATTCAGGATCCCAACTTTTATAGACAATATTCGGAGGCTCTGGCGGAATATACCAGTGAAAGGAAGAAAACCTTCGCTGCGGAGTTATTTATTGGGAAACACCAACCATACGCTTCTTGTCTATAAAAATTGAGCATCCGTCTTCTACTCGAACGGGTCTTCCTGAACTTTCATGGATACTCATTGACCATTGCCCAAATGCAAACGAATGCTACAAAGCAACTCCACAAATTCCGTAATAAGTTTCACTTTTCAATAGACCCGAGGCGGATTTACGAGAAAACGACGTACTACTCGCATGTCTCATCAGTAATATCTACCGTTACACCGGTAGTCTGTACGAAATACGTAGATCAGCAACGCGTTCAAAAACCAGTCATCATTCCAACATTGCATCAACAGCCCTCATGTGCGTCATTTTCATTGGCATATGTTATCCACTGGTTCCCCAAAACTTTGGTCGAAATGCCGTTAGCTGCAAACCCTCGTGCCAGACCAGGTCCAACATAATAGTTAAACCGCAAAAACACGTCAAATACTGTCGACTTTTGTTTCGAATTTAGTGTAGCAGTAGCTAAACCTATAAATCAATAGTCAAGGAACTTAGGTGTTAAGGCGCGAGCTACAGGCTACCGGCAGCATCCTGTGCACATCGATCCTTGTTTTTTTCAGGTGCCCCTGTTCACACTTAGGCCATATTGCAGTACATGGGGCTTCGTGTCTCCTTTTAGATACGTGGGTGCTAAGCAATAAATGATGTAAACTTGCATGCGAGCCTAATCGCGTTGCATTCACAATACGCGTAAATGTTACATGACTCGAGTGTCACATCAGATGGCAAGAGCTCACAGGAGTTATGTATCGTTCGGGCCGCCGTTTTGATCATTGGCGCCGGACAAGATCCGAAACGAACCTTTCTAAAAATGCGTTCGCAACCCATTGGGGATAAACACTCATTTGGACTCATTTTGAACCCGGAAGAGCTGCGCAGAATGTGTGAACCGATCGTTTCACTACAGGCTGATCTGGCAACATCAAAGCCTCCATGAGGTACATAGCCAAGGTGATGCAAACAGTGCGCCGATTATTTTACAAATTTGCAAAATGAACACACTTCATCGTCGCACTCTGTTTAGGAACTATGCACACGACTATCCGACTAGAATAGGGTTTCAATGCCTCCCAGGCACACAAATCTCTAGATGTGGTTTCCTAGGGATCTGGGAGTGACTAGGTACGTTTTAGTTAGCTAGAACAGACCGACTTAGGTCCCATTACAATGTGAGGTACATTTTCGAGGGAGGCAGCCAGAGGGAAGCAGGCTAATGAGGACCTCAGTTTTGTGCTGAACAGCTGTATTTAACCGAGTATGTTCACAAAAAAACACAACGCAGATGGTTGGAACAAGACAGGTACATTTGACTATTGGATAGAATTACCGAAGAGAACTCTGGCGGCGAAGCGGAAAGCTGAACTTCCTGAATGGATACCAGAAAGAAGGTATTTTGAAGATAATCGGGAGAACCCCGCCAGAGTTGGCACCCGTTTCATAGTCAAGCGGGAGAAGGAACCTTCATACAAGTATTCCAGGAGAATAAGGAAGAAGTGGACACGGACAAAAGCTCCGAACATTTTGTCGAGTGCTGATGGTGTTTGGGCTTCGAAGATACATCAAGGGATTTTGCATAAAGTTTGGGTAAACTGATCAAACATTGGGAAATGGACGGGGAACGATTGGGTGAAACAGCGACAACACGCGTCAAAGTACGTAATCCACACAGTTTAGGTCTAAGGATAAAACGATGGGAGTATATACACGGGAGAGAGCTGCCCGGCGAAACAGAGCCGACCGTATTCGAAAGACAGGACAGGATAGTACAGTGCGCAGTGTTAACAATAGCCGGAAGAAAAAGTTCAAGGTGATTTTGTATCGAATGCCTCAAGCTCCTTCAAAATTTTGCGGCGTTCTTTCAGTGCTTTGTAGGCGGAATCACGATCACGTTTCAGAGGTGGCTTCCTATGGGGACGATAGCTCTCCAGTTTGTTGTATGCCTCGATCACCTAGGAATAGGGGTCAATAAAAATAAGGGATAAAAGTAGAATACGGGTAATTATACAAACTTTGTGAGTTTTGGAGAATTCACTATACCAATAGAGTAAACCAACCTCATTAAACCATTGAAATGCCATCAAAAGAGGAGGCATCTGGTCGACAGGATTCGGCCGCTCCTTATAATTCAGTAGGGATAATCTTGACTGACACGGAAGGATGTGTATCGTTCTGAAATCCTAGCCGTAAGGCTAACATGTATCAATGAGACCATGCAGTCACAACCACCCGCATCTATGGGGGCATATTTTAGTTTTTGAGAGTGGATCCCACTGCGCAACCAATGCAGAGTAGTCCAAATTTCTTGAGATATCTAGGTTCCTTCTGCACCACTCTGAACCGGACAGCGAGCGTATTCTCGGTACAAACGACGAACAACAATCGCCCCTTGAAATGAAGAACACCCCATCTACAAAAATGGCACTTCTTTTCCGCCAGAAGACAAACGAATAAGGGAATAGCTTTTAAGGGTAAAGAAAAGCTCTTCCTTGTTAAAGGGAAGTCAGTAAACATCAGATTCAGACATACAACCAATAGAAATAATTTTTATAAGTTAAGTGTTTGCCAACGAATCACATTCAGAACCCTTATGACTCGGGCACGTTAGGTAATTGAACACAATCGGACAATAAGGCAGTATAAGTATTTGGATAGCATGGGCCAACCTTACTCCATTTCGTTCCTCGCCTATTAGATGGTCCCAATCCACAAAAAGTTAGGTGACATTGGATAGTCCGGTGATCTTAATTAGTTTAAAGACAATGGCGATCCGGGTGGAGAAACGTTACGGTCCAACGAGCCCAATCTCGCATGAAGTCATAGTCTCGTATGAGAGTATTGATGACTTCGCTCCACTGGAGCCAGTTTGTCAGCATACTCAAGGTAATATTTTCATTCGCTGCTTTAAATCGCCATCACATACAGCCCTATCAGTCAGTAGGTAAATTCTGACCAACTTACGGGCTTTGACCGCTGACAGACAAGATTGACTAGGGATCTACGGACAGTGGTCAGCAATTGTACAAACGCCCACGTAATCAGTCAAACATAACAAGCTGTACAGACAGGAGGTCTGAGAAATTAATAGAGGAATCGTTCCATCCTAAGATGAGGGACCTCTTCGGAGGCCATAAGGCAGAAATAAGCCCTGTAGTTTAATTGTATCACAGAAAATTAACCAAGCCACTAGATTTTTTCGGGTTTGACAACATTAGACTCGATAAGTGAAGCGGATATTTTTGAACTATCTACCAAATCATGGGACAACGAATAAGTACTGACATCGGCATCTGCGATTGCCAATCGTCGCTGGATTTCTTGGCGTTGCATATCCCGGCGAGCCGCTTGCACCAAACGACGTAGCACTCCATGATTTTCTGCACATACGAGACGCAGTTCCTGTTGGCGTTGCTGAATAGCCAAAGCTACTTCGTCTGATACTGACTCCACTGGAACAGCTGATGAGGATGAACTGACAAACGCTGGTTGCTGCGTGACTGGCAAGGCAATCTTGTGAGTACTATCCTGAGTAGCACCGAATTCGCGAAGGAGGAAATGAAAGGCATTGTCCGCCTTACGTTCGTTTGGTTTGTCGGACGCCGCGCAAACTACACGACCGGGGTCCTCAGCAAAAGGCTTCGAGGCATTGCTGTGTTCGTTGGCTACTGTTTGGCCTCCATCTGGATTCTGATAGTAAGTGATGAGGCAGAAACATTGGTTAACAAGTTCAAATCAGGGAATTAGGTCCATAGAGAAGCCATTGATAGTAAACCAACCTGGGACTGAAATATTCCTGAGTGGAAAGCATATGTTATTAACTTTTTCCAGGGCTACAAGAAGATTCTCGTCTATTAGGATTTCAATTATTACAATGTAGCCACAGAAACATGGGCTCGTCCCAAAGAGTGACGAGAAGCGACTTACACAATGCTCACAAATTGAGCACGTGGCCAATTTCATTACTGCTATCTGTCACACTCAGAGAGACGGAGGATATTTCAACTTAGTAGAGTAAATAAGGAAAACGGAAAAACTTGGATGTGTGCCTCCGAATTCTCAAGAAAGGATATAGAAGTAGCATTGAAGTAAAAAGAACAGATATGTGGTGTTCGTGTGGGTTACACACAAAACACTACTGGTGATGCCAGACCGGCGGCGAACAGTTTATCTTCGTAGTTCGGAAGGAAGTTATTTCCATCTTCTCTTCAACCTGAGTGAACCCGGGCGATTTTGCAGCCAGACGTGATTGTTCGTCAGAGTTACACAAACTGTGGAACCTGCAAGACCTATGTATGGCAGCTAATCAGGAGAAATCACCTTGAGAATCGAGAGATAACTTGTCCCATAGATAAAAACTGCATCGTAAGTTGAAACCTGCTATATTCCAAAGAAAGTCCCTGCACAATAATTTTAGGGAGAGAGCAGACGAACACGGCTTGTAGACATCCATCAGGGTGGAAAAAAGCTCGACGCTCGAAGGATACTAAACCGTACATCATGGGACAACAGAATCCGATGGCTAACAAACTGATAAACTAACACCAGATTGGTGAACGACGCACAATAATTAACTGCCTGTCAGAAAAAGGGACACGTTTTGCGAGAGTCAAACGACTGCAAACAGAATGTGTCTTAAAGCTACAGCATCATCCGAGTTGCTGATATGCTAATCAAATCAAACAGTGCACACACCTTTGACTATAACAACAACATAATGCATAGCATGAACCGTATAGGGAGACGCTTTGTCAAACATAAAATTCATGGTTGTAAATAGTTCATTCGCTCCTACGGACATTCAGTGCAGTTCATTGGAAGAGGAAGGTCAGCCTAACTCATAGCTATACTTTCTGGGCTATCCCGTGCCAATGCCGTAGTACGGTAAAATTTTGGTGATTGTTTGTGATTCAGATGGAGCTGCGATGGAAAGACCCATGAGGGGCGTGAGCTACCACAAGGTACGCCCTTTGGATTGGCTTTGAACCCGCGTTGCTTCGCGGTCAAAGCCTGACGCAATGAAACTCCCCTTCCACTGGACTAAATGTAGCCACAAGATCTTCGCACAAATCCATCATCTCGCTAAAACCCAAACCAACGGGCTCATTTTGTGTTGTAAATTATCAGTGTACTCAAGGCAGCCGACAGTACAGCACATCTATCAAGGTTGCATTGGAAAAATCGCCTGTTGCACATATTAGGACCACATCAATTTTTACAGAGGATGACTTTTACAGTAGATTCTACAAAACGTCTACTCAAATCATGTGTATCAAAAGCTCAAGAGTCGTGTTTGAACAGTGATTGTGCGGTGAACCAAAGAACAAGGAACAAGGTGAGGGGCTCCTCGCCTACTAACTAGTCAAACTCAGCATGACTAGTGATTTTCACTCAGTCCTCTGAAGACCCTTCACAGTTGGAACCCCCTCTAAGAAGACTATGTGACTTCATGTGTCGGGTTGGTCCTACCTCCCAATACATCCGAATCCTCTTGATTTTGGGAAGGTCATGATGAAAAAGGAAGAAAGTACTGAGCTATCAGATACAAGAGCAAACCAACCACAATGAGGAATTCTTGGTGGCTTCAGGTAGTCTAAGCGCCCTATTTTATTATTGAAGCTGGTGTGAGGAGTATGCATACCATAGCTGATAGCCTGCCTATGTGGGTCAGTCGAACAATAGATTATCGCTTAGCAATGTGCTGAGATTTAATATGGAAATAGTAACAAATCATGGAAACTCACGTTTACATCCGATAGAGAATTCACTGAAGTCGGTATGCGGACTACATCAGCCTCTTCGCCTGTCCCATTTGCCAGGTGATCAGAGGTGAACACATCACCATTTGATTGCATTGTAGAGTTTGTAGATTTGAATGATGGATTGGTTGGATGAATACCCGATTCAACATCAATCGGCAGTTGAACGCAATTGAGTCCTGGTGAGGATGCAGTTTCTGTGCGGCCACGTTTGGAACTAGTAACGTCCAAACCGGTTCGATTGCCAGTGCAGTGGTCGAATTCGTGCGCAATCACTGCGTCCATCTCGTCCTCATCTTCAGTGAAGCATACACCGTTGACTAAAGGTTCTCGTGTGTGTTTTGGTGAAGTAACGTGCTGCATTGACGGAGAAAGAGCAATTATCTCCTTGTAGTGATACAGTATTTTTCGGACGAAGAAAACAAGGCGTACGGATTGAGAGTTTCTAAACCAACATCACATGGGGGTGTTTACGTTAGGAACCAAATCTGTAGCGTAAGTGAAGTGGTGAATGACTAACGAGCAAATGCAAACTAAAAGCAATCGAGGCACGATGACTGTTAGAAACAGCGGCTGTAGTATAACCTACCGAGTTGTGAGGTGAACAGTTCAACTGTTCCAGTGAAGGGTCACATCCATTTGTTTGACTACGCAACGCTCTGACGCAACCTGTCTGTCGAACGCTTTTACGCAGCGTTCGGTCGCTGTAATGCTGACCGGACTCTGCGGTACCATTGGTCGAGAGCATCTGATCGGACTCCTCCAGTTTGATGGAAAAATTCCGATGGGAGTCTGATTCTGCAGTTTCGGGAGGGGATGGTTCTGGTCCAGGATAAAAAACAGAGACATGTAGGTCAGTCTCAAGATGTCTAACAAAGGGACTGAAGGACGGATAAGAAGCGGTTTTAACACAGCTGTATAAAAACACGCGTATCTTCTGCGAGCTGAATAAGTGGTCTATAAGAATAGTGATCTATAAAATAGTACGAGGAAATCAAGTAGTTTCCTTGAATGACAATGGTGTTCAAGATTTCTAATCTTATTGACGCTCAGCTTAGAAGGTGAAGTGTGGCGAACAAAGCCTGTTTTCCGTGAGCGACCCTCTGACTAGTACATCGCAACTGATGTGAGAAATACGAACAGGGCGCAGTAGAGCAATTACAAAGGTGAAACAGACGGTCAAAAGTATAACATATCAAAAGAGTCACACCACTGACAAATACACACTGGAGCGAGGTACTGAATGTGAGCCATCACAAGTTCAAAGTTTGCATACAAATTTTTGAATGCAAAAGTTAGAACTGCGTAATTGGACCCGTCACGAAGAGACTGGACCTTACCGTGGTGTGACGGTTTGCGCACCTCAGCGATCCATTG